TGGGGGCCCGCAGCCACCGCCCGGCGCCCCAGAGGCCACCTGCGTACTAGAGGCAAACTTTTGTCTTCTTCGGTAAAGTTGCATTGGCCTTCTTTTGCTTGCTTTTCGTTGCGAAGTGCCCCCTACTCCGGCCGAAGCCGGGCCGAATAGGATGCTGCGCCGTCTTGGAGGGTCCCGCGGCCGGGTGCCCGCGCTATGGCACGGGGATCTGGACACGGGGCTTAAGGGGGCTGGGGGCCACGGGGGCAGCCCCGGTTCGGGTCTGGCCAAGCCAGGCGGGGACTTAAGGGAGGCCCGAGGGCTAGGAACTCGTGGCCGGGGGACGATTTTGCATCCCCCTTCCCACCTGGGTGAACGAGCCTGTCTTCTTGGGGTACGCAGCCAAGCCGGCCTCCACCCCGTCTCCACTGCGCCCGAGCCTGGGGCTGTTTTGTCGGGAGTTGGGGGTAGCACTGGAGGCTGGGATGCTGGGAAGCTCCGAGAGGTAGGCCATGGGAGTGTGTCTTCGGGGAGTGTGTCGTGTGTGGAGGGGCTGCAGCCAGCCACTGTGAACTTATAACTGCACTTCTCCGCGCTACCCGTCCCGAGTCCTGCCTTTCTTTCTTTCTCGCTCCTTCCTCCCCCTCCTCAGGCCCTGTCGCCCCCTCCCCCCGGTCAGGCTCTCCTCTCCGGTCTCCCTCCTTGCTTCTCTCCTCCTCCTCTCTTGCCCTCCGCCCTGAGAGCCGCTTGACTTCCCGGAGGGATCCGCACGTAATCCCTCGCCCTGTCCTCGGGTCCCCCAACCCCGCACTTTCATCCCCGCCCCCACTCATCGTCCCCACCGCCCCCCTCCCCCGGCAATCTCTCAACAAGTATATTTGCTGAGGAATTTGAAAAATCCACTACTGCAACTTGATCTGTGTGTGATGGATGGGGAGAGGCGCGGAGTGAGTTGGGCGCCAATCCTATTAAGGGTTTAGAAAGGGGAGCGTTTTCCCCGGACGGGGGCGGGGGAGGGGGCGGCGGGTAATGTGCGTGCGTGTGTGTGTGTGTGTGTGTGTGTGCGCGCGCGCGCGCGCGCGTGAGTGCGCCCGCCGCCTCGGGGAGCTGGAAGTCCACCCAACTCGGCGCCTTTTCAGCCCGGCAGTAATTGCTGTCATTTCCTAGGAAACCCGACTTCTACAGCGCGAGGAGCTCGGGATGGAGCCCGCGCGCTTCACCCAAGGTGACCGGCCCCAGAGGCGCTCGCGGGCCTTGGTTCTTCCCCAGGGTGCCTCCCCCAACTCCCCTTTCTTTTGTATAATTTTCATGTGGCTTTCAGAGTTGACCGCGGCTGGAAAAGTAGACGTTTCCCCAGAGTCCGGTGCCGGG